AACTGACCCCAGAAACACAAGACAATACATATGTGTTGCAGGCTGGGGTGGTAGATCAGTGGTAGAGAGCTTACCTAGCATGTGCAAAGGCCCTGGGTTCCATCCTCAGCACCACAAAAATAAAGAATTGTGCATTGCTTTAGGGCACATGATTGTTGCTACTTTGCCTCCAGTGACACAAAACTAACACTGGTACTAATTCAGATAAGACATCACTTGGCTACGGCATGGGTAACAAGTTGCAAGTACCAACAAGAGAGAGCTGGAGAGACTGTGGAAAATATGGAAGAACCCTGTTCTGTCTGCAGAGGGAAGGTATAAGTGGACTTATCCAATGGTTATCATGTTGGGATGTGAGATCAGTATCGTCAGATCTTTTCACTTTTCAAGAAAATATAGAAACTTGAGTTTTATGTGAAAATTCTTAATTTTTAAGTGTCTACTTATTTGGAGTTTTGAGAATTGCAGTGAGCTAATCTTCTGCAGGACAAGAAAATACATTTAGGGGTTTCACTCAGAGTAGAGTATAAAGTGGAGTTATACTTAGGTAGAGTATAAAGTGGGAAATGCCCCAACAGCCTGTCCCAACTCTGAGCCCCAGTACTTCTAGACCACTGGTCTTGGGCCTTCAAGTCAAGGTTCATTAAGGGTTAATAGTACACAAAAAGCCTAAAAACATTGACTGTTACAAAGTGGAAAAATAATATATATTTATTTTATTATGATTTATGTCATTGCATTAGTGTCCTATGACTGTTAATAAATTACCACAAATTGGAATCTTAACACAAGACAAACTTACTGCATACAGTTTTAGGGACAAGAAGTCTGAAGTCAGTTTCCTTGGGCATCATCAGGGCTGGTTCTTTTTACAGGTTCTAGGAGAGAGTCTGTTTCCGTGCCTTTTCCAACTTCAAGAGGCCACCTACATCCTCTGACACATGGCCCATCATCGACCTCCAAGGCAGTGGCATAGCATCTTTAAGTCACTGTTAGGGGCTCTGATATCACCATTACATTGGCCCCTGTCTGGCTCTCCCTCTACTTGTTTCCCTCTTACAATGGCTATTTTGGTAACACTGCTGGATAATCCAAGATACTTCTCATCTCAAGATCCTGGATCATATCTGCAAACCCTCTTTTCCTGTGTAAGGTGACATTCACTGGTTCCAGAGATCAAAACACAGACATTTTTGGGGAGCCATTATTCAACCAACCACAAAAGTTGTTACTATTGTCCAACTCACAGCCTCATCTTCATGAACTTTAAGATTCTGGGTCACAGGCATGATCCAGTCACCTTCATCCAGGCTGTAACCACAGACTGTTGTGGGTCCCTCAATATAGCAATTCTCTGTGGTTGTGGTCTTAGAGGCTTTATAATAGTAGCAATGAATAGCAAGTGAGGACTTCTTAATAATTAGACTAAGGCCAGAGGTAGACTTTTCCTTGCCTCCAATTATGACCTTGGATACCTCAGAGATGCAAGCCAGCAGTGACGTGAAGGCCACTGATAAAGAAATACAGCCAGGCCTGTGTGATCCATTCTTGATTAAAGAAACCCTGAACACTAACCCAGATGGGGTGCAACAGTGTTGTTTCATCTGTCCCATTCTATTATGGTGTTGATTGTTCCCCTCAATCAGGCAATGACTAAAGTACCCTAACGCTAAGCTTCTAACTTCCTGGAGATTCAGATCCCATCTTGAAGCTTACTCATTTCATCTACAGCACGATGCTGGTGCTTTAAAATAAATATTCACATTTATTTTATAGAATTCATGAAGCATACAGCAAATTAAGAGCAAATGACATTATTTTCTAGTTAAATTTGCAGAGGAATGATCTGAATGAATTACTCATATTCCTGATTAATTTTTAGTGGAAATAATGAGGGAGTCAAAAATGGAAAACCATGTATGCACAAAACCTGTCTTTCAAAGACCAATTTATTCTAATTATGGCTTTACAAACAAGGCAATCTTACAGAAACTTCCTTAGGAGTATAAAAAAATCTAATGGGCTAGCTATATAAGTTTAATGTAATGATGTGTTTCCCTGTAAGTTTTAAATGACTCACAGTCTACTTCACGGCTCTCTGTCTCTGCCTCTGTGTGTTTATCTCTGTCTCTGTCTCTGTCTCTGTCTCCTCTCCATCTCTTTCTCCCCCTCCACCATCCATTCCATTCATCCATCCATCCACTGATCTACCTATCTGTACTGCAACATACAGACATGTTAGCATATGGGGAAACAGATACCAAGAATCTATTCATCCAAAGAGAAAGTCTTTCTGGACTTTCTGGAAGGTCATTAGAAAGAAAATCAAATCCTTAAGAGCATCCACACACAGTTTTTGGTTCAAAAATTTATTTTTAAGACATTATCCTAAACAAATAATCATTGATACACACAGACTGAGCATTGGGCTAAAGCACAGTTTTAAGCAGCTTTGGAAAAGCCATACAGTGTAATATATATAACCATAAAACAGATGTTGCATATGCTTAATGAGGCAGGAATATGTAGATATAACATAACACTTTTGCAAAAAGCTAGTCATAGGTAATGTGTTCAATACAAATCCACTTGGTGTATGTGCATAATTAAATTACTGGAAACTCCATACTCCAGAGTTACAAACACTATATGCTTGTGAGTCAGGCGTATGGATGACGGGCTTTGCTCAAGTTGGTCTTTACTGTTGTCTGTGGCTTTTCAATGATGTACAGATTCTTTAGTAAAACATGCCTGTTTCCTATAGTTTCTTATAGTAATTTCTGGTCCTCTAAACACTATTAAGTTGTATCATGCCCTCCTTCTTCCCCATCCTTTCCTCGGGTTTACTCTACTTGAGAGAGAAAGATGAAAACAATGTGGCTGTTGCTGGTAGAAATCATCTGCCACCGCCATTTTCATCAGTCCAAACCAATTAATTTGCTCTGCTATTAATAGCAATACTAATGATGGCTTAGCTAGCTATCAGTGACAGAAGTTACAGTTTATGACATGTTGGGCTCTATGTTGAACGTACTGCAAGCCTATCTCACTTAAGCCTACAGGAAGATAAATGTTAACCTTTCCCATTTTACAAAGGAGAAACCTGAGCAAGGGAGACATGGAGAACTTTACTCTCCCCCACAAGGCTGGAATGACTCAGCGCTGGAGGTGGAATGAAGCCTGCTCCCTGGGAGTGTTCCTAAACATGTTAATGATTGGTACCTGCTGCGTTATCTGTGTTGGCCAGATTCATCAGGGTTTCCCCAAAACAGACAAGAACAAGGGAAAGAGTGACTCTCGTAATTACGAGGATGGATCAGTCCCTAGATCTGCAGTCCGAAGGCCTGCAATCCAGTAGAGCTGATGGTGGAAGTGAAGAGTCCAAATTGGAAAACAGAAAGAGATAAATGACCCAGCTAAAGACTATCAAGCAAAGAAAGCGAATTCTCTCTTACGTCACCTTTGATTCTAGTCAAGCTCCAACTGACTTTGTGAAGATCTCCCACACTGTAGAGAGCAATGTGCTTGATTTACCTAAACCACCAATATAAATGTTAGCTCATTCAGAAACACCCTACCAGCTACACTGGAATGATGTTTAACCAAATACCTCAGCACCCTGTGTCCCACACATGTTGAATAATCCACCCCCTAATTCACTCCATGCCTATTTGTATCTGAAGTCACACCTATGCTCACAAGTTCAGCCACACTTCCTCACACAGGTGCACATCAGCTCTGCTCACAGCTAGTGTGTGGACCTTTCCAGTAAGAAAGCTGATGCCCAAGCTAAATCCAGCCTTGCTACCTGTTTTCGTGTGACTCAAGGCAAAAATATGTTGTTTGGTTGCTTTTAAATTTTCAAATGGTTGGGGACAAAATCAAAAGAAGAACAATATGTCATGGTATGAGAAATGATCTGAAATTTCAGTTTCAGCGTCCATTAATAAAGATTATTTTGGAACACAGCTTTTCTCATTTAATTTCAAGTTCTTCTATAGCTGCTTCTGGGCTACAATGGCAGAATTAGTCCACATTGACTGAAACATTTTACTGTCCGCCCTTTACAACAAGTTTTCATGACCCAGGCTTGCAGTGTGCATAACTCATTGAGGACCAATCAGAGGCTGCTGTGGGACAGTCACATTACTGGTGTGCTTTGGCCTCGCTTTAAGTCCAACTCTCCCATAGTTGCTCCATAATTCTTCAAATGACCCTAATCTTACCATGCCAAACTCACTCCATTTGGTTTTATTTCTTTCCAGACATTTAGAACTACAGACTTGCTTTGTTTAACTGTTGTGCATTTGTCCAATATTTCTTGAACTAACTCTCCTTAATAAGAAACTGAGGAATCATGATACTGTATACAATCCATGGCCCTACAAATGCAGTGGAAAGAGGGGTCTCCTGAGGGCAAGTTTCTTAGGATCACGTGTTAGCAGCATCTTGAAATATCAGCAGGTGTGTGGAGGTGTGCAGCATGTCAGGTTTTCATTGAGCCAGAAAGTCTTGCCATTTTAACTGCAATTGATTTCTGACAGTTGCCAACTGAAATGTATGACATACAGACTTGAATCCCTGACTCGAGCTTTTCACATTTCACTCCAGATTTCCCTCAGCCCTCTTCTCTCATTTTTATTTCTCTCCAGCCTGTTGATATTTGAAATGATAGCATCTGATATAGATGCACATATGTGTCTACAGGTTAGTAATCCACATTGTTGTGTCTATATATGTTGATGCACATCTAAATTGATTTTAATGTAGACACACATACACAATAACTTAATCACAAAGTAGACACAAGAGTGACCAGGAATGTATTGTTATGGTTTTGCCAATTGGCCATTTTAGGAATTCAAAGGATAGCATTTAATCCACAGCATACACTGCTGAGTAAACCATCTGCTCAAATATAATACTGGCCATATTGTTCAGCACAAAAATTCCCAGAGTGCATTCTATAGTGAGCAAGAAGGAAGAAATTCCAAACGTACCATTGAATTTTTCACACTCTGTAGCAAGCGCTCGTGCTGCTCAGCTATTGCCAAGGCAGCAGAGTGGACCTTTTGGTAAATGGCCTCACCATCTCGTGTTTGAAAGATAAACAGCCCTTCACCAGTCTCACACATCCTGCAAAGACAAAAACAAGAAGCTTCTGAAAATCCAGCTTCCAGAAGTGCAGTGTACCAAGATCTTATGCTCATTTTTTTATGCAATTAGGAGTCTTGTTCACTTTTACTAAACAAAGCTAACTAGAATAAAAATGTTCAAAGTGTCCAATTAATTCATATTATAATTATGGGCAGGGAACCAACACTCCAGGCTAACATGTGCTGAATGTTTTTTAGCACAAAGCAAAGTAGAAAGAAATGCAAGAGCCATTTCTTAAATCTCAGTATATTCTTTACACTTCACCTTTCTACTCCAAGGGAGAAAACCTGTGTTCCATCATTCCTCCTTCTGACAACCCACTTCTTTTCAGAAATCATGCTGGTTAGCTGGGAGGTAAAAGGAGGATTCTGCCTCTCTTTAATGCTGTTCTAACTTTCCTCACCAACAATAGCTTTAAGGATTTTTCTATTTCTAAAACCACAGATGACATTTTAGCCCAGCTTCCACAGAATGGGATGGATGAAATGCAATTCTCCTTTTTTTTTTTTTTTTTGTAATGTACGTGACTGTACTGAGCTATGTGTGGCACACAAGGGAAATTCTTCAGTGGAAGCTGAATGGGTCTGATAATTGATGTCAAATGTTGAGAAGAGGATCTTATCCAGATGAGACCATGAAGAATCAGAAACAAACTTCATTAATAAGGGAAGATTGCCATATCCAATAAGGCAGGAAGCAAAAAATGCTTTTCCAATTAAATATGTATTAGTGTGCATGTATGTACACTCAAATATATTTAATTATTCCGAATGTTTTTAAAGAAGTGAGACAAAATCATATGTAGGGAGGGACATTTAAAAGAGCTCTGATTCTGATGCATACATATGGCACTAGTAAACTAAGAGAATCGCTTTGTTTGTTTGTTTTACAGGACCTAATTATTCAAACACCCTCCTTCCACGGCTGAATCTCTTCCTGAAATGTTGAACACTAGCTTTAGTGACTGAGTTTTGTACTAAAAAACCAAAAACTGTACAATACAACCTAGAATCTAAGCACATTTTCAGCTCAATCCACTGTTAATTCTTTTACCTACTCCAGTATATGCAATGATCAAGGAAGGTGTTACCCCTGTCCAGTTTTTCACAGCTAGCCCAATATCATGACCATATGGCAGTTTTCTGCCTGTATGGCAGGGTCTAAGTAACTGGTCAAGATTTGCCCAGCTTGAATTTCATGAGTAAAAGATGGAAAAAAAAAGATAGCTCTTTCAGTAAGACAATATAAAGAATGAGCTCATGAAGATGATCATAGGATTTTAATTATTAAGTCATTCTAATGAAGAAGAACTAAATCTAAAATTCAGTTTCTTTGTGCAGACATCCTTCAACACTTCAACCCCTATTGCCACTTTTTTGCTTATATGTCCACCATACAAACCTGGCATGTAATTCTGCGGACTTTTATGGTTTTCATACATCCTTTTCCCATCAAATAAGAAATTAGGAATTCATTAAGAGGAGGAATTGACCTTAATTGACTCTTTAAGAAGAGCATGTAACCTCTCCCAGGGCAGAGGTCATTGTTCATTTACTTATGACAATCTTGGTTCCAAAAAGGATGAAGGTACTTGTTATTCAGAACACCTGTAGGATGATTAATCAGTATCTTACAGCTATGTTTCTCAGGCCCGGCAATCCAGTGGCCTAAGAAGTCGTTTAGATTGTGACTCAATGTGCCTGTCTATTAGAGGGCCTATCATCACTCTGTAGCATGTTCATGTTTTCTTTTCTATTGTATTTTTAATGCTGGTGGTAGGATGCTTTATCTGTATTATGACCCCTTAATAAGTAAGAAAATCACTTTTATGCAGTGTCCACTTTTGATAAAAATTATGAATCCACACCCCTTCTTAAATGATATTTAAAGCACTAGACTATTGTGATCAAAAAGGAAATCAAAACAATTCCAGTATCATGCATTCTTCTGTAACTTATATAGACAACCCTCACCTGTGCTGAGGGTTCTGAAAACACACACACACACACACACCACACACACACACCACACACACACACACCACACACACACACACCACACCCCACACACACCACACCACACACACACACACCCCACTTGCAGAAAGAACCAGGAGTGGTCACATCCACAAACTCCACCAGAGCTCAGGTACAGAAAGTGACTGGATAAAGCTGTATAGACACCGCCCCACCCCACCCCCCAGTTGAGCACAGGGTGAAGGGAATGTGTCTAATGGGGAACATAGGTCTTGTTTAATGATGGCAGTCACCAGCCAGGCCTAGGCAGGTATTTGCAGGGAATAGTAGTCCACAGCTTTGGATTATTTGAGAGAAGCCAGAAATTTTGATTATTAAGGGAAGTTACCTGAATTTTAAACATCAGAAACCTGCTCCATTTTCTTAAGCTGTAAGGGGCAAAATGGAACTGATGAAGTTGAGCAACTGGAACTGACCAAGAGGTCCCTGAGTGGACTAAAGAGACAAAATGCACTAAGGGCTCTAAAGAAAACAGAAATGAGGTCTTTGATTTGGTTGTTGGAACTTTTGTCCATCTGCTGGAAGTCATGTGTCCTTCACTTGGATAACATCACCAGTAAGTCTCAAATGAACAAAAGCTGTCTTTCACGTGCTCTTCCCTAAGGCCTCTTCTAACATCTACCCACAAGTCTTCTATCCAGGTCACTCACCCACGTGACTTAATTGGAACTGTTTCATAAGCATCTTTACAAAGCATTAAAATGCTACTACAGGCAGGCCTTCATCAAAACAGTATAATGGGATAATGGCCCAAGGCAGTAAGAAGAAAACAGGGGAATAAAAAAGGAAAGAAAGGAAGTAAAAAACAAAACACATCAAGCAGGCTAATGGTCTTACATAACCAAATACGGCAATGTCTACTCATTTTTATAGAAATAGAAAATAAAACTGTTTTAAGGGGTTCACCCCCCAAGGAATAGCACATCATATGCTTTGACTGCCTGTGGTCCTGATCCCTTCCTTCTTTGTACCTATTGGTTCCTATTTTGGATGCTTTTCCAAAGATGTCCCAAATAAACTAACAGTTTCCGATGCCCTTACCCTCTCAGAAACAAGCATATTGGACAACCAGGTAAAATAATGAGTTTAAATTTGGCTTTTCTAATGTCATCTGTGAAGATAAGGATTCAGACATAGGGACATCATAGCCATACAAATACACTTACAGTCTTGAATTTCATGAAAATTATTCTGCCTAAATGATATCCCTATCATTTGATACCACGGGTTATTCAATTAATCAGAAATCCTTCAGAAACCAATAGGTCAGAAACCCCAGGGAAATTCATTAATACACCCATACACCAAAGATGTGTCAAGGCAAAATAATAAGATTTAAGAACCTAAGCTGAGGATTGCCTGGCTGGACCTGCCCCTCATTTGCACGCTCCATCACCTCTCTCAACCTGCATTCTCATCTGTAAAACAAATAGAACCATGCTAACCCTCACCTGGATTTACTGCAAGCATCACATATGAGAGGCAGAGTGGACAACTAAATTTTAAAAGGGAGAGTTCATTGTTCCATGGGGATGGAAACTCTGAGTAGAAAGGGAAGTTTCCTAATCTAGTCACAGCTTTTCTTCTACACAATAGATGTCAGGCACATCTCTCCACCTTCCACCCCCCATTGTGACAACCAAAAATGTGTTCACACATTGACAAATATCCCCTGGGAGGTGAAATGCCTCCTGTTGAAAACCATTAAGATAGACCAAAACCAAGAGGACAAAAGGAGAAACTGACTTTTGCTGGAACAGTAGGAGGCTGCATAGAGAAGGAGGCTTTGAGTTGAGAAGAACCCATGCTCTGCCCCGCCTGCCCCGGGGAGGCGAGAACCTTCTAAAATTGTGGCTCTCTGTTGTCCTTCCTGTTCTAACTACTGCCCTGTACCTGCTTGATATCAACTTAAGTCAAAGCACAATGTGTTGGCAGGCAATCAGGGTGACCTCGTCCACTGCTCAGGGATTGTTTTTCTGTCACTTGCTGTGAGCAAAAGGGTGAAAAACAAGGGTAAGTGTAAGATACCTCATCAAAACCTCCTCTGCCACTTAGGCTTCTGAGCACGGGACAGCTCTTGGGACCATCTATCATTCACATTCAGCTTTGGTTATGGTTGTCCAATCTTTTTGCCATTAAGTCATTCTTTTAGTATCAACTCACTGTTTTGTTTTGTTTTTTCTTAAACAAATATGTTGTAAATGGAATCACCAGACCAATATCATGAAGTACTATGAGCTGCCCTAAGTTGAAAGTGAAAGCAGATATAGAAATAAGTAGAATGAAAACAAAGCAATGTTACTAAACTCTCTCCAGATCCTCTTGTCAACGGTCTGAGCTGAACTTTTCCTTCTTTAGTACAGGTGAATGAGAAAATGTGTGTTGAAATTTGTGTAAGGTTTGCCAGCACCAATAGCAATACTTGCCCATAACTTAATCAAAAGGATCAAATAATTGAAAAGAAATGACTTTATCACTCTGAGTTTCACATTTAACATCACGCCTAAAATCATCCCACATTTTGGGAAACGCAGGTACAGTTCCTACAGCCCAGTCCTGTCTGGAGGGACCAAGTGAGGAAGGTGGAAGTCTCAATTCCAGCTTCCCTCCATGCGGGGATCATGGTCTGCGCAAACTCGTCGGTCTCTCAAAGTTTCAGGAGACTCATAATTCAAATGAAGGAATAAGGTCACCCAGACCTCAAAGGTTCAATTTGGGAGACGAGGATTTGTGTTTAGTAAATGGTTTGGCATCATCTGAGCAATTAATCACGATCGTTGCTGTTATTGTTGTTGTTCTAAGCATCTTCATGTGCTGAGGCCACAGGGAAAGAGTCAGGAAGGAGATCCAATCACATTTTGTCTTGAAGAAAAGGTGGGCAGCCACACCTCAGAAGCCCAGTGTGGGATCAAGTGTGATTTTGAGGATTTTCAGGAGTGGATT